ATACTGGAGGTAGAGATATGTCATGGGGGGATGGAGACAGCCCTGTGAGAAGAACAAGAGAGATGTGAGTTGGGCTCTTGCTCAGGGCTAGAGAATGGGTAAGATTTAGTTGGGCCCTGAATACTCGAGCAAGGCATAGATGCTCTGGCTGCCTTCTCTTCCCTCCATAATGCTTTTTCCAGAGCAGAATTATATGCAGTTCTAAACCACAGCAGGAGTTGTTGTTCCCCACCCCCATCCCGCTTTTAAAAAAATAATATATACGGGATAGCTACTTCCATTGCCAAAAGCCTATCCAGTGAGATCAGTTATTTCCCATACACACAAACAGGTAAAGAGAAGGCTACAACCTCCTGTTTGGGTCTCCAGCCTTAAATATTCTAAGTTAGCTGTTCTCTTCCAGGGGGCCATATGTCCCCCTGGGAGCCCTAAGATATTTCAGGGGGTCTGGAAGTGAAAAACATGTAATGGGTGGGCCATGGCACATGCTGAAGGGGCACGGAAAAGCAAAATGTATTATACTACAGATACTGTCTTGTTGATGCCAGAAAATGAACCAGTTACTGTCCCATGTCTGTATCTTGTAATGAGACCTGGATGCGGGGGGGGGGGGGGCGGGCACAGGAGACAAATAAGGTTGGAAGGGCACCATGGGCAAAAAAAGGTTGAGAAACACTGCTGTAAGTGACATAGAACATCCCCTATTTTCTCCAAGGGACACTGGCACAATAGAATGTATACTTCCAGATGAGAACTTTCACCATGTTTTTATGATACTGGAATAAAATGGAAATTGGAGAGCTGTTCCGAACCATAGGTTTCAGGATAAGGTCATTGGGTATTGACCTTCAGAATAGAGACATAAAAATCAACTTTATAGGTTTGGTGGATTTATCAGAGACCTGCTTACACGTGAGGCACGCTCTGATGAAACCTGGTTACACATAAGGCTGACAATCGTACTACAGATCAGAAGACAGAATCAGAACCAACTCAAAGCAGACGACAGAACAGCCCTCAAAAACCTAAAGAAGGACCAAACCCTCATCATCCTCCCAGCAGACAAAGGCTGAACCACGTTTATTATGGATAGATCATAATACATACAAAAAGCTGAAGAATTACTGGAGGGCAAATAAACCTACATCCCAGTAAACACCAACCTGATACAGAAACTAGACAACCTGATCAAGTGAACCCTTAGTGACCTAACCAAGAAAGGCCAGATCACAAAAGAACAATGGTGGATGAAAAGCAGCGGACCCATCCTCCCACACTTCTACGGTTACCCCAAAATACACAAGCCCAACATTCCTCTCTGGCCAATTGTAACGTTACCAGGGACCCCAACATACAACATAGTGAAAGAACTTACAAAAAAGCTTGGACATCTCACAGGAGCAAATATTCTATCAACTCCTCCAGAAAATCAAAGAACTAAAAATAGATGAAGATGAAATTATGGTCTCATTCAATGTCACAGCACTCTTTACATCCATAGACCCAGAACTAGTGAAAGAATCTATGGCAGTAGTACTACACAACACACCCAACCTAACCAAATACACTAAGATCAAAATACCTAGAATCATGGACTTCATCAACCTCTGCCTCACTACCTACTTTCAGTTTGATG